CCCCAAAACCCCAAAACCCCAAAACCCCAAAACCCCTGCTACCGTGCATGATATTGAAATAGGTTCATGTGAAGCTGTCATTTATTGTTTATCAAACAAGTTTCAAGGGATTAATGCATTTTTATGTACATCTTTAATTGCTCCTCGATCTTCTTCCTCTTGGATTCCAACTCTTCAGGCGTGCAGCTTTGAATATCCAAACTATCATCTTCTGTAAGATCATTGGGATAATTTACCGTCTTCAGAATCTTTATCAAAATCAGACTCGTTAAGGCTGGTTTCTTTGGATTCTTCCTTGTTTTTGATTTTAACATCCTCTGATTGTGATAATTTCCTAGGGGCATTGGACTTCTCTATGGTAGGAATATTTGCCTTATTGATATTATCACCGAATGTATAGCTCTTCTCAATCTGAAATTTCCCAGGAGTGGGTGTCCCTCAATCTTCAGATTCTAAAATTTATGAAATCGAAGAGATACCTTCCTGAATGTCACCCATCCTTGAATGGATCAACTTTCCAGAAAGCTGTCGCTTTCTAGTCCTGATCCCTACTAGTTTTCCGAATGCAGACTGCCTTGGTCGGATCTCAGGTGATTTTATTGGAAGTTTGTCCCTATTAGTCACTTGTTTGTATGTTTCTACGATATTCTTGATTTCTTCCTGAGGCAACTCGTTCATGATTGATGTACTATAAAATAGAGTCTTAGGCAAAGTAGAATGTAGATTTATGGTCGAAAGGATATATAGTAAATTAGAGAAAAGGATAACACTCTTACTTTCTCAAACAGATCAACTTATACAAAGCCTCAAGCTGCTTTAAACTCATTTGAATTCCAATCTTCTGCGATGATATCAAAGGTTTTGCTTTAGGTTTTAGCAAAGCATTAGCTCTATAATTTTTCAGAGGGGCTAGGTCCAGTGTGGAAGTTTGATCACTTTCTTTTATATCATTCTGTGATTCTTTCAGCCACTTATCATCATCAATGGTAAGACCATTTGATAAAATAGTATTATTATCTTCATCTCATTCATCTTGCAAAATGAATGGATGATGCAATAATTCATAAACATTACATCTCTCTGTTGGCTCCTTCTTAAATCATCAATCCATGAAATCTCGTAGCTCATCGGAAATATCTTCTGGATAGTCAGGTGCTCTAGACTCATTCGCAATCTGAAAGAGTACAGCAAATTGGTTTTGATCAGACCACGGAGGGGCACCTGTTAGCATCTCAAAAACAGTACAGCCAAGGCTCCAAATATCAGCGAATCTGCCATATCCCTTCTGTGTAATGACTTCTGGTGCCATCCAATAAGGAGTGCCCTTGAAGGAGTCGATTTGCTAAAGATTATGCACCAGCAGTACCTTTCCCATTTTCTCAAAGATCTCTTTGGAGGCTCCAAAATCAGTGAGCTTGCAAATTCCTTGCTTAACCAAGATATTTCCCGCTTTAATGTCCCTGTGGATTATTTTGTTGGAATGAAGGTACTCTAACCCTTGTAAAATCTGTTTTGTGTAATTAGCTATATGATGTTAGAGATAGCTAAGATCAAGGAAACTACAGGCTTAGTAATCGTCATATTTTTAAATGTTTTCGCATCACTAATGGTATTCAACCGTCTCAACAATGTTTCAGGAAATTTTTGATGAAAATTTAAAAAAATAAGTATATTTGACTTTAGTATAAACTTGAGAAGTTGAAATAGAGATTACATATAACTGGCTCTCTGAGCTTGCCATATAGATTTAGCAACGACTCCAGTGAACCTTCTCCAAAATACTCGAGAAAGATATTAAGTACATCTTTTTGTTTCTGGTACCCAAAATAATCGACTCTATACAGTGAATATCACCAATGAAGGTACATTTTATCATGGTTAAGCTTGCTGAGACAATCTAATTCAAGTTGGAATTCCTTCAGTCTCTTAGTTGCATTTTCTCTGATTTTATCAGCCCTCTTATTATCAACCTCACCAATTTTAGGCATCTCAGGGAGAGAAAGCTGCTTCATTGCTAATGGGCGCCCGGTGTTTTATGAATCAAAGACATAATATACCTTCCCGAAAGAGCCTTGGCCGATTTGCTTCATGATCTTCCATTCAGTAATCTGAGGCTTATCCACTTTAGGAGTAGTATCCAGTTTCTTTTTGAGAGCATATAAAACTTCCTGATCCTTAGTATAGTAATTATCAGCAATCTTGATTTGTCCACTGTTCTTCCTCTTGTTCAGGGTTTTAAACACCCGCTTAGGTCGATTAGAGCGTTCAGATGAGTTTTCCACTGTAGAAAGTTAGAGAGTAGTTAGTAAAAACAAAGAATTATGAAATATTCATACTCTCGATATTGTGCATCATGCTTTCGTTTCTCTTTGGATGCTTCACCGTGTGTTGTCTAGAGGTCATTGTAAGGTACTAGTAAGGTTACCTTTTAGATTTCCTTCTGATTGCATTTTTGTTCATATTGCCATCAATTGATACCTTAATATCTAGATTTATGAACAGGGCTAAATTACCTTCTATTTTAACATGTTTCTCAAGATCTTCAAATAATGCATCTTTCGAACAATCCTTGCTTGCGAAATCGCCTATTAAAAATTATATATTTTGGAAGATCCGGCTGGTGATGCATTAAATACCATTAGTTAAGAATAAGTGGATGGTATTATTATAAGATTTTCTTGCAATTACCTTCTTCATCTCAACTGACTATCTGCCCGCCTACATAAATATGTTCTTCATTGATAAATGGTTCTGTAGAATTCAGTTAAAATTTTGTATTAACTTCAATGCTCTAAGGCCTAAAATGAAATCTTAACTTCAGACTCAACAATTTGTTAAGAATACATAAGCTATGATAATTTTCAGTGTTATTTGAATAATCACCTGGATTTTGGAATACTTCCTGTACATTTGGGGTAGATTCACCCCTTTTGGGCTTTCTTTTGAGTAACTTCTCCAATCAATTTCCCATTAAGCTTGTTTATATTATAAAATCTTAAAAAAGCCAGGGGTTTTGGGGTTTTGGGGTTTTGGGGTTTTGGGG